CTTATTTTTAGTAAGACTGTCGAGGAGCACGTTGCACATTTGGACAAAGTCCTTAGTCTCCTGCGACAACACAAGTTCAAGATCAACGGTGAGAAGTGTGAATTTGGCCGCACCTGTGTCTTGTACTTGGGTCATGAGATCTCCGCGGACGGGTTGAAGCCCGATGACGCGAAGGTGGCCAGCATTCGCGATTGGCCACGTCCTCAGTCTGTGACTGAGATGAGATCTTTCTTAGGAATGACAGGCTATTATAGAACTTTCATGAAGAACTATAGCATAGTTGCCTCTCCTTTGACTGATCTAGCCCGCCTTGACACCCCATGGGAGTGGACAGATAAGTGCAAGGCTGCTTTCAGACATTTGAAGCATGCATTAACGCAGTACGAAGTCTTGAAACTTCCTGATCCTGACAAGCCATTCATAGTCACCACGGATGCCAGCCAATACGACATTGGCGCCGTGCTCGCGCAGCAGGAGGGGCCAAAGTTGAGGCCAGTTGAGTACATGTCTAAGAAAATGCCGTCTCAGAAGTTGGCTAAGTCCACTTATGAGAAGGAACTCTATGCGGTGTACAAGGCTCTCACCCATTGGAGACATTATCTCCTTGGGAGGTTCTTCATCCTCAGGASTGATCATCAGACCCTGAAATGGATGAGAACCCAGYCGGTACTCTCTGACGCTCTCAAGCGTTGGATCGAAGTCATTGAGCAATATGACTTTGACCCTCAGTATCTCAAAGGGGAGTATAACAAGGTTGTTGACGCCCTGTCGCGCAGACCAGACTTCYCAGGTGCGCTGATTACTGAGTTCAGTCTTACGGACAATGTTACTCAATCTTTGGTGGAAGCCTATCGCGAGGACCAGTTTATGTCTGAGATCATATGCAGACTTGAGGCGAAGGACAAGAAGACGTCCGCCGAGTTTGAGTTGGTTAATGGCTTGTTGTTCCTTGAGAAGGCAGGGAATAAACGATTGTGTGTTCCCAATAGTGAGTCTTTGCGTAGTTTGTTTCTAGGTGAAAGTCGTGATGCCACCGGTCATTTCGGGTATAAGAAGACCGCAGCCAACTTGCTGCAGCGATTCTAGTGGCCCACGATGATGCGAGATGCACAGCTGTACGTGGAGACTTGTCAAGTTTGTCAACGGGACAAGCCCCGTACTCAGACTCCTCTTGGGCTGCTTAAGCCCCTTCCGATTCCGGAAAGGCCGGGTGAAAGCTTGTACATGGACTTCATGGATACGCTGGTCACCAACAAGAGTGGGATGAGGCAGATCTTCGTCATCGTGGACAGGTTTAGTAAGTATGCTAGGTTAATTGCCATGTCGGAGACAGCGAAGACCGAGTATGTAATCAGGCTGTTCAAAGAGAACTGGGTGAGGGATTTTGGATTGCCTAAGTCTATTGTAAGTGATAGGGATGTCAAATTTACAAGTGAGTTATGGAAGGCCGCTGCAGCTGAACAGGGAACTCAACTGCAAATGACTTCTGGAAACCATCCAGAAGCAAACGGCCAGGCTGAACAGATGAACCGCGCTGTTCAACACCTGTTGAGGCATTACATTAAGCCCAACCAGGTGGACTGGGACGAGAAGCTTGCTCTTGTTGCCAGTCTGTATAATAACGATGTACACAGCGCTACCGGGGTAAGTCCTAACAGTCTACATCTTACCTTTAGTCCTAGACTGCCTTTAGACTTCCTCCTTCCTGACAACCAGCCAACTGTTGCACTGGGCACTTTGGAGTTCGCTTATCGTTACGAACAGAAAATGCAGGAGGCTGTAGAGCACATGCAGAAGGCGCAGGCAGCAATGATAGAATCTGAGAATAAACACCGCCGCCCTTCTACATTTCAGGTTGGGGATAGAGTCTGGGTCAAGTCTTCAGAACTGGGACAGGAGTTCGGGATATCCCGCAAACTCATGCCTCAGTACTTTGGACCTTAGGAAGTTTTAGACGTAGTAGGGACAGATCCTGATGGTCCATCTTATGTCATCCGTATCCCTGGTCATCTCAAAACTCACCGTGTCTTTCACGCCTCTAAGCTCGTTGCGTCCAAGGAAACGGATCAGTTTCCCTCTCGTCGTTCGATGCTGCCCCCAACCATGGACGGAGAGGTCGACATTGACGATATCGTCGACCACAGAGAAATGCCTGTGCAGAAGCCTCCAGGAAGGGGACGTCCTCCAAAGCCAAAGCTGCAGTTCCGTGTCCACTTCAGACATCATACAGATCCGAAGGAGGACCGCTGGTTTACTCGGGAGGAATTGATGCAGACCGCTCCTCAAATCGTTGCCCGCTATGAGAGGGGAACCGCTGGTTTACTCAGGAGGAATTGATGCAGACCGCTCCTCAAATCGTTGCCCGCTATGAGAGGGATGTATTGAAAGGAAAGCGCCAGATGGCGGCATATTGATCTTCTCAGAGGACTAACGAAGATATGGAGGAGGGAATGCGAGGCTACGCCCGCTTAGCCCCTACGGGCCCTTATTTGCAGCAAGGTCGGCCGCCTTAAGTGAAGGCAGGCACGACAGGCCCTCAGGGCCTCGATTTTCAGGGTACCCCGCAACTGGGGAAATTCAGGCAGTTGCGCAGCGCCAGTTGGTTGAATGAACTCAGGCCCTGGGCCGCCTGTGTGAATGAATGTAAAGCAGGCCCTAGCCTGGATACGGGTACCGGGCCAAGCACAGGCCGAAAGCAGTTGGGCACATGCAACCACTTYAGGCCCAAGGCYTGCGTTCCTTGTGACTGGGCCTCAGGCTACCGGGGCCTACTGGAAGCTTCCTGGACTRGACGCAGGCAGGCCACTTCGATATARGGAAGGGCCTGCCTCCTCATTCGGGATTCGGGTGATGGCTGCATGYTGCGCGAGCGCTGGTGCGCTATCTGCTGGCTGGCTGGCACTCACGCTCTCACGGGCGAGTAGGGAGGGAGCACGCAGCCATAGCCAAGCTGCGCTGCGGTATGCTGGGTGAAGCGCAGGGTGGTCCTTGGGTGCTAGTGGCATCTGTGCGGTGTGGATCGGGGTTGTGAGTGTAGCGCAAGACATACCTGGTGCTGAAGCGGGCGACAWTGGTCGCCATATGCTCGTACTTCGGGAACGTTGTTGATGTCATCATTCTGCTTCGTAGTATAGGCTAGATASGATCTGCCACATGTAGTCTGGGCGCCGAGCGCCAATAGGATATCAACTCTGGTTCTTCGTTGATGGGACTACTTCAGCATTGTCAATTTTGAACTCTTGGTGTGTTCTTATTTGGTGTATCTCGTGATGCAATTCTGTTGTGGTTCGAGGGCAAGGCTATCTGGACTCATATGTATGATGCTGTATGATTGCTGAAGTTCGCTAATGCTCAGCTTCCTTGCATTAAATTCACGTTCGGAATTAATTATTATTTTTCCAAAATTTCAACGAAAAAATTTAAAAAAAATTCCACCTCCTAATTCTTTTTCTATAATTCGAAGATATTTTGAAATTTAATGTAAATAAAATTTGAAATAATTTATTATTATTATTATTATTGTTATTATTATTATTATTATTATTATTATTATTTTTTACCAATATTTTGAACAACGAATTTTGTAAATCTCTCCTTCGAACCCGTCAAAATTTTGTTTTACCCAAATTAATTTCGAATAAATAAAATTCCAATCAGAATAAATTTATTTATTCATTATTAATTTCCTACTTTCCCCCCCCAAAAAAAAAATCTTGGCGATTATCTTTATTTGTGAATTTATTGATAAATAAATAAGGGATTGCCCCCTCCACCTCCACATGCCACCACGCCAAACCAAGAACTCCCAACGTGCCGCCGCTGCCACCGCCGCTGCTGCCGCCACCGCCGCTGCTGCCGCCGCCGCCGCTGCTGCCGCCGCCACTGCTGCTGTTGCATCCTCCACACCCGTTCAGGCCACGTCCTCTACCCCCTCTTCCGCCGACATGGCCGCATCCTCCATCAACATGTCTGACATCCGCACCGACTCAGTCGATAGCATCGCCCGCAACCTCGCAGGCGAACAACCACCAGCAAACACCGCCACCCCCGACCTCTCCGCCATCCTCCACGCACTCAACACCCTCCGAACCTCCGTCATCGCCTCTCTCAACGACATAAAGGCCAACATGTCGTCCATATGCGACCGCGTCACCACGATCGAAGGGACCATCCCCTCCATCACGGTCGTCACCACTGCGCAAACCACTCCCTCCTCCATAGCGCAAACCACTCCCTCCTCCACAGCGCAAACCACTCCCTCCTCCACAGCACAAACCACTCCATCTTCCACAGCGCAAACCACTCCCTCCTCCACAGCCGCCTCCAGCAACACCCCCCCGCCGACCTCCTCCACTCCTACCACCTCTACCACCACATCCACCAACCCTTCAACCTCCACCACCGTTCCGTTCCCTCCACCTCCTCCCTCATCCGGCGCATCCAGCACACTGCCTCATTCCTCGCCCATCCACGTCACCCCTCTTCCCCCCCCGCACTCCCAAACCCTCTCCCAACCCATCATGACCACCTCCACCATCCCCACCATCCGTCCCACCTATTCCCAAGTCACCTCCGGGGCTTACCCCGCAATGCCATAACTCCCCCCCAACTACCTCCTTGAGGACAACAACCAACTCGACCACACCTGCTACAACACCACCCCCGATAACCTCAGCTTCAACACCCTCTCGCCCTGATCGTTTCCCGCGACGGGGAAATCCCCCATTCCTTCCGATCCAGCGAAACATGTCCTTCTCCGACCTCCCCCACGAGGACGTTTTCCTCTTCCTAACCCAGCTCCAAAACTCTTTTCACCTCCACCACATGCCCCTTGCCCACTGGCTCCCCATTGCCACCTCCCGCCTCCTCGACAATGCCGCCAAATGGTGGATGGCTGAAGTCAGCAACCGCCGAGCCTCCGGAGGACCACGTCACTCCTTCCTCCACTGGGCCAAACTTCTTACTGCCACCTTCCGCCCTAAGAAAACCATTGACGACTACCTTGAACAATTCTGCCACCTTCGCCAGATCGGTGTAGGGCCTTACCCTGATAGACTTTCGAGCCTGAGTCGACCCCTTTGCGGGTCCCATTTGGCTCGACCCGCCCACGCTCATGCTCAGGGCGCGGGTCATTCGTATCAGGGGCATCCCCACCTAGTGCTATGAGATGGATGGGGATGGGCCATTTTGCGAGAGGGCTTTACATTGGGGATGTAGCTCCGCTCTCGTGCTAGATGGTAGCTCTTTGGTCACTCGCGACGTTTTCTCGATTTATTCAAGTGTGACCAGGCAATTGCTCCTTCCAATACACATGCAGTCCAGGGGGTTTATTGAGGTTTCTCTTCTTTCGTGCGTAGGCCAAGCGTCATCCTTGGGCCACGCACCTTTTCCCTAAACATATCGGACCCTATGGCGTCATCAGGGTGACGCGGCACCGTCCATCCCCTAGCCCCTTTTTTTTTTTTTTTTTTTTTTTTTTCGGCTAACACATGCATCCTACTCACATATCCATCAGCCACCCTTAGTCCTTCCGGGCGACCATATTGCATGCAAGAGGTCGACACACGCATTCATCAAGCCAGGCTACACCACTTTGTTCCTTGCCCCTTTGTCCAAGCATCCTATACCAAGGCCCGCCTGCGTTTGGAGTCCGCACTAGGCCTTTGGCTTTCCCAGGCAATCCTTTCTCCCCTTTGTTCGCGTTTCCCTGGCCCAGTCCCGCTCAAGCCATCCTAAGCTACTCACCTGCACAGTCCCACACACATCAAAACCAATACATTCCCCCAATGGGGTCAACACATCGCCCTTCCCGCAAGTCTAAGTTCCCTTTTCCTTTCAACTTTTCCTTCCCTTCACAATCAAGCCATGCATCCTCCTTAGTCATGCAGTCGGGGAAATGGTTGAGTCAATTGACCTTATCCAAGCTCTCAATCTCCCGCTTTTCTCACGGATCCCGCCCCTTTCACTTTTCTCAAGTGACCCGCCTTTTCCTTCTTGGTGCCACAAGGGACCGGCAACCCTCCCCTTGCCCTCTTTCTCCACCAAGTGAGGACCGAGTTTGTTTACCGTTCGTTCCCTGACAATGTAGCAAGTGAGGGAAAAGAGGTTAGTCATGTGCCAACAAGGACGACGGGAGGGTAGAGGAGATGAGGGTTTTAGGGGAGAGAATGAAGGAAGAGAGAGAGAGGGACGGAGAGGGAGGGAAGAAGAGGGAAAGAGAGAGGAGAGAGAGAGAGGAAGAAGGAGAGAGAGAGAGAGAGAGAGAGAGAGAGAGAGAGAGAGAGAGAGAGAGAGAGAGAGAGAGAACCGGGGGACGAAACCTCTAGTCCCTAATCAACCTCTCCTCCTAGCGTACCCTATCGTCCTACCTAGTGTTCCTAGATCTCCTCGGTGCCTCCGTTACTTACGACCTTCGAGTGACGGACGTGGACAGAGGAGGGAGAAGGTGAGGGTGACCGGCTATGGTGGATGGATGAGGAAGTTGGCGGAGGAAGAAGGTGGAAGGTGGTTGGCTATGGTGGATGGGTGGAGGGAGATGAAGGAGGAAGAGAGTGGAAGGGGGTCGGCTATGGTGGATGGGTGAAGGAGACGATGGAGGAAGAAGGTGGAAGATGGTTGGCTATGGTGGATGGGTGAAGGAGGTGGTGGAGGAAGAAGGGGGAAGGTGGTCGGCTATGGTGGATTGGTGAAGGAGATGGTGGAGGAAGAAGGTGGAAGGTGGTTGGCTATGGTGGATGGGTGATGTAGGTGGAGGAGGAAGAAGGGGGAAGGTGTTTGGCTATGGTGGATGGGTGATGGAGGTGGAGGAGGAAGATGGTGGGAGGTGGTGGGAGGTGGTGGGAGGTGGTTGGCTATGGTGGACGGGTGATGGAGGTGGAGGAGGAAGATGGTGGAAGGTGGTTGGCTATGGTGGATGGGTGAAGGAGATGGTGGAGGAAGAAGGTGC